CGCCGGGCCGTGGCCCTGAGAGCGCGGCGCCCCCCAGAGGAGGCAAAAGTTGAGGACGGCTCCGGCCGCATCTACACCCCCCGGACACCCCACCTCCATCCCCCCCTCACACCCCCAAATCAGGGGGCAGCCTCGCCTGCAAGCCCGGGGCATGAACGGAGCCTGGAGCTCTCACGCCTGCTCTCTTCCCCTCCGTGGCTGGGGGACCCCCCCCCCACTTCCCGTCCACGCGGAGCGTGAGTCTTGGGGTTTAAACAGTTTCTTCTCTGACCCCGTTGACTCACGGATTCCTCAACTTTTCTTTTCCTCCCGAGGGGAGGACTTGGTGTCTGAACCATGTCCTTCCCCCCCACCCCCCATTTTCCCCCCTTCCCCATCTTCTGCCCCGTCCCTCCGAGAGTTTGATTTGGTCCCTAGGCTACATTAAAGATTGCTGAGAACAAACATACCAGGGTGCTTCTGCACATCCGTTTTCTTTTTAAGATCCAAGTGTAGGAATCAGAGCTGTGGAATGGAGTTATTGGATGGCTGGCGTGGAAGGGTAGTGATGAGTTAGAGGAAAACTATGATTTCATCTTTATTGGCCCTTACTATAGAAAACCTAGCACTCTCCCCCCCCACTTCTTCTTCTGCCTCTCTTGAATGTGGTAGGACTCCACGTTCAATTAGATACTTGGAGACTTACATAAAAGGCTATTTTTAGGTCATTGGATGATAATATATGAACAGCTTTTCACCTGAATTGGAACTGCTTCAGAGATTCTGTTTAGGGACTTACCTGCTGATTTTTATTATTTACTTATTTATTTATTTGGGTTCATCCAGTGCTCTTTTTTTTTTCTTTTGTCGAGGCCATGTAGCAATGTGTATAGTTAGAGAGAATATTGCTCTCTGCAATGTGAAAGTGAAAAAAAAAAAAACCAACGGAATTATCCACACGGGTAAAACTTTCCATGAGCAATCTTGGATACTTAACTCAGTGATGGCTTCTTTTGTAATCTCAGAACATTTTAGATTTTGCCCAATTCACTGACCACCCTGATTGCATTCTGAATTGCCTAAGCATTTCTTTCTTTTGGTGGCTCATTTAGCAAATTAGAATAGCAGGTAAGGTGCCTTTTTTTTTTTTTTTTTTTTTGCTTCAGAGATTGAGTCAGTTGCTTTCAGCACCAAAATGACCAGTTAACAACAAAAGCAGAAATTCATTCCACGGCTCTGTGACCAACTCTCCAAGTATGTAAAAAAACAAACATCCCCTGCCCATAGATGTCAGAGGGCAGGAGGAGAAAATATTTTATCATGTCTTTATTTTGGAGACTAACATGATTATATTATGTGGGAAAAAATGTCAAATGATTTTTTTTCGAAAGCTTTTTGACATGTGGTTATCCTTTCCACCACCCCCTATTTAGGGGCTGACATTTATCTTTGGCTGTTTTCCAGGGTTGGAAGAGAAGTGTTGTACTGAAAGGAAAAGATAAGATTGCTTTGAACTATTATGATACGAGTGATATGCAGAGAAACTTCCACAATAATGTTTGTACCCCATTAACATTCTGTCAGAATTCATTTTTAAAAAGTCTTATCCTGAGGCCCATAAAGAAATAATGTCACTTCATAACTGTTACCCTGACAATCACATTAAAAAATGTTCCTGAAATGCATTCTGTGTGTACTCATATAAACATTTATCTTTGTACATTTATGGTAATGTAAATATTTAACTCTGAAAGCTTAAAAACTTTTATTTGCCTATTTGCATACATGCTTTCCAGCATCTCGCTGTGCCAGCCATATTTGCCAAATGAGCATCAGCCATAAATTCATGCTTTGGCACATTTCATATAATAAGTCTTCTAAATTGCTCCATGGTGAAGCATCATGAGATTAGTATTTGGTTCATGAGAGAGATTTGTTGTTGTGGGCTGCAGTGATGCGCAGTTGAACTGGAACAGGTGCTGCTGGGCTCTAGTTGTTCGTCTTGAAAATCTGCCAGACCATACTTTTGTAGTTTCATCAATTTAGGGGCCTCATTGTGGCCCCTGACATGCCAACTATGACCCCTGGCATGCCCATATCACTATTGCCAATTACTGTTTTCTGTAAGAGGCAGGCGTGTGTCTGTCTGTCTCTGTCTCTGTGTGCCTCTGTCTCTCTGTCTCTGTGTCTGTGAGAGCGCGTGAGCTTGATTTTCTAACTTGCCAATCTCTTTACTGTGAGTCTACTTCCCCATTCTTCTTTCAGCATCAGAGCTCCTGGTTAAGTTCTTAGGCTCCTTCCCTGCTGGTTGATTTTCTTAGGAGAACTAGAAGTTCTAACTTCCACATATGTTTGGCAAACCACAAATGTTTGGGTGCATTTTAAGCTGTAGACAGGCTAGTAGGACTTAAGTGTATATAGAATGTACTTCTTTTAGCAAGAGGTTTAGGAAGAGAAGATGGCTGGTCATCATAATTACTATAGTATAACAGATGACAGGTGTGCACACAGGTGCCTATAAGTGAGGCACAAGGGGGGGAGTAGTTGACTCAGACTAGGATACTTTTTTTTTTTTTTTTGGCTGGTCCTGGGGCTTGAACTCAGGGCCTGGGTGCTGTCCCTGAACTTCTTTTGCTCAAGGCTAGCGCTCTACCACTTGAGCCAGAGCGCCACTTCCCGCCTTTTTGTTTACTACTGAGGAATCGAACCCAAGGTTTCATGCATGCTAGGCAAGCACTCTACCACTAAGCCACATTCCCAGCCCAGACTAGGATTCTTGGTGGTGGGAATGTTCTAGAATAGGTCACCTAAGTTAATCAAGAAAGAGTAATAGCTGGGCACTGGTGGATCATGCCTGTAATCCTATCTACTCAGGAGGCTGAAATCTGAGGATCACAGTTAGAAGTCAACCCAGGCAGAAAAGTCCTCCAGAGACTCTTAGCTCCAGTTAACCACTCAAAAACTGCAGGTGAGCTGGGCACCAGGTGGCTCATGCCTGTAATCCTAGCTACTCAGGAAGATGAGGTCTGAAGATTGTGGTTCAAAGCCAGTCTGGGCAGGAAAGTCCATGAGACTCTTGCTTCCAATTAACTACCAGAAAACGAAGTGGCACTGTGGCTCAAGTGGTAGAGCGCTAGCCTTGAGCTGAAGAGCTGAGGGACAGAGCTGAGGCCGAGAGTTCAAGCCCTACAACTGACAAAACAAAAGCAAAACAAAAACTGAAGTGGTGCTATAGCTAAAATGGTAGAGCACTAGCCTTGAGCAAAAAGAGGCTCAGGACAACACCCAAGTCCTGAGTCCACAAACCACACACACAACACAAATACATAAGCTAACTAGGTTCAGAAAGAGGGATATTAGTGCTGTCATCTTGAAATACAAACCACAATTTTAAGCTGCACAAATAATTTAAACTTTTCTACTAACCATCTTTCAAAAAGTGAAATGTGGGGCTGGGAAGGTGGCTCAGTGGTAGAGTGCTTGCCTTGCATGCATGAGGCCCTGGGTTCCATTCCTCAGCACCACAGAAATAGAAAAAGCCGGAAGTGGGGCTGTGGCTCAAGTGATAGAGAACCAGCCTTGAGGTGAAGAGCTGAGGGACAGTGCCCAGGCCCAGAGTTCAGACCCCACAACCGACAAAAAAGAAAAGAAATGTATAATTCAACCCTATATATCTAAAATAGTAGAATCTCAACATGGAACCACTTTGCAGAGCCATTTGACATTTTCCCTTTCATACTCAGATTTTAGGCTCTGGTGTGTATTTTATATGTATAGCATATTTCAGTTTCAACTAGTTACATTCAGTAGTCATGTGGGGACAGCTGAGTTTTTAGATGAAGGGTCGATGTATTAAGCCACATCATGGATTGTGCACCAAGCTTAGGAACCTGAATTTCATTCTGAAGAGTGGAGATTTACTTTTCAAAAAAGGCCATGCTGTGAATGGAATCAGATTTATGTTTTAGACCTATGATTTGGGCAAGAAAGTGAAGGCTAAATTAGGGGCAAAATTAGAAGCAGCACCAGTTAGAAATCTATTCCTGGTGAGAAATGATGAGGGAAGTAGAGGAAGGGGGTGGATGTACAAGGGATCTAGGAAGAATTACCAGCAGGATAGGATAAATAATAAGATTACAGA